TCAAAAACCAATGCATAGAATTATGCATCTTAGTGTAGTCTACTTTTGTGCCAAGTTACAGTGAGGTTGCCGATATCGAATCGCTAAGTAAATTTGCTTGGATAGTTTGTACCTGAGTTCGAGTTAAATTCATTTTAAATCATTGTTTGGTGGTACTTTGTTTGACTTATAGCATCATATATATTTTCCCAATAACCACTGATAAAATAAAAAAATATCGCTGTACTTTGATGAAGGATGTTTTCTCCTTTAGCGGATCATTTTCTCCATTACCGAATCACGTGACATACAGCTGATTCTTTTTGTTAGGGCCGGTGTCAAAATGCCTTTTTTTACGTTTTACAAGGCCTTAAAACATAAACAAGAAAAATAGAAAGGCTAATATTATTTTCTTTTTACAGGGACCTATATACTAACGGGATAGGCAACTCCTTCATCGCCATGTTTATTTACCCAAAACATCACGCAGAACACTACAAGTTTTTCAATTTACGTTTATTCTGAGTATTCAGGGTGTTTACTGATTATTATCATTTATTCCTTTTATGCATTGAAATTGATTTATTGATAAATTTTAAAGCATAATAATAATAATAGAAACCAAAATAGGCGATCGGGGCATGTGCTGATTTTGAAAGATACATAATCACTGCTAAAATAAGGATTACAATCAGTGCTAAAATCAAATCTTGAATAATTTTTTGATAGATTATTTAAGGTTTTAATATGAAATATTTGATAGCATTAGAAATATAATTAATTAAAGATGACTTACAAAATCCCGCGACTTACGAGATATCGCGAGATTTGCAAGTGTTGCCTATCCAATTAGTATATAGGTCCCAGCTTTTTAGTAGTGTTCATTTTATTGCACCCGACAATTAATAATAAATAAAACAATGAATTTAACTCAAAACAACAATTCATTTAAAAGTTGATATAAAACGACTGTCTTAATTAATTGGACCTACAAAAAAAGTCAATTAGTTTAAAGTTATTCTAAGTATCATTATTGTTAATTATTGTTAAGTTTTTGAGATGCATGAACATCCTTTCATTTAATTATAAACACAGATGAATGGATACAATAAAAAAGGACATGCATAACAAAAAAATATTTGAGGGCTCAGTGATACTAAACTTGGGATAATAAATTCTGTTTCTTTAATTTAGTCATGATTTGTACAGTTCCATTGCATCATCCTCTTCTAATTTAAAAAAAAAATCTTTCAGTTCATTAAACAAATTTTCACCATCTACATTTGCAAGTATATATACTTGCAGGAAAGAACATTAACACCACCCCTTCCTTATTAGGTTCTGGCCATGGATGAAAACCTGGCACTGGCTGTCCAGTCATTTCAGCATATACATGTATTTTACCACCATCATCCAAAATGGTACAAAATGTGCAGAAAGACACCTGGGTACATGTCCGATAGGTAGCCCAGCTATGTCACAACATGCAACTTTCAGTTGGCGTTTATCATTTGTAATATCATTATGATTAAATGTTGGGGAAATTTGTTCAATGGTGGGAGTCACACAAAACAAATGTAATGGTTTGGGTCGTGGATATCGGCCTGCATGGATAGCTCAGTTGGTGGAGCACCTGTCCAGAGATACAAGGGTCCCGGGTTCGATTCCCGGTCCAGCCATGCATTTTCTCCTTTCCTGTTAGACAACTGCATTGACATCTTTGGTGTTTGAATATTCCCTGTCAACAAGTAAATGAGTTGGAGGAGATGTAAAGAGGTGGGGGGGGGGGGTGGATTTTAAATGCATGATAGCCTTTCACAACACATTTGTCAATATTAATTTCTCCTTCATGTACCGTAAATAAGAAATAGCCCAGCTGATGCATAGGAAACCAGAAGTCTCTGTCGAGACTGTAGCTCTACTGGTTTATACTTAAAACAAAGGAAGAGAAAAGTAGCAGTTGGGACTTGAGACTTTAAAACATCAATAAATAGAAAAATGATCCTTGCTAATCATCAAAATAAAAATTGGTGCACAGAATTATGTATCTTAGTATAGTCTACTTGTGTGCCAAGTTATACTGAAATCAGACCAAAACTGCAGGAGGAGTAGCATTTTGAAAGAATTTCACAGAAATTTCTATTTTTAGTAACCATGGACAACATTGTTCATTGAAATCAAAAACCGATGCACAGAATTATGTATCTTAGTGTAGTCTACTTGTTTGCCAAGTTATATCAAAATCAGACCAAAACTGTAGGAGGAGTAGCATTTTGAAAGAATTTCACAGAAATTTCTATTTTTAGTAACCACGGCAACACCGTTTATCGAAATCAAAAACCGATGCACAAAATTATGTATCTTAGTGTAGTCTACTTGTGTGCCAAGTTATACTGAAATCGGACCAAATCTGTAGGAGGAGTAGCATTTTGAAAGAATTTCAAAGAAATTTCTATTTTTAGTAACCATGGCAACACCGTTCATCAAAATCAAAAACCGATGCACAGAACTATGTATTTTAGTGTAGTCTACTTGTGTGCCAAGTAATATTGAAATTGGACCAAAATTGTAGGAGGAGTAGCATTTTGAAAGAATTTCAAAGAAATTTCCTATTTTTAGTAACAATGACAACACCGTTCATCGAAATCAAAACCCGATGCACAGAATTATGTATCTTAGTGTAGTCTACTTTTGTGCCAAGTTATATTGAAATCAGACCAAAACTGTAGGAGGAGTAGCATTTTGAAAGAATTTCACAGAAATTTCTATTTTTAGTAACCACGGCAACACCGTTCATCGAAATCAAAAACCGATGCACAAAATTATGTATCTTAGTGTAGTCTACTTGTGTGCCAAGTTATATTGAAATCGGACCAAAACTGTAGGAGGAGTAGCATTTTGAAAAATTGTTTACAGACAGACAGACAGACAGACGGACGGACACACATTTGGTTATATATTGGGTACATCAAGTCCAAGTCCTATTGGATACTGCTTATTGGATACAAAAAAAGTGTACACACGAGAGAGCATTATTTGGGTAGTTACTGTTCAAATCTTATTGGATATTAATCCTCGTGTCCGTATTTTATTGGGTTTTTTCTTATTGTTTTTTATTCATTTCAAATTTATTATATATTTAATATTTGCTGGTAAATTCAGACAGGACTGAAAACCTTTGGTTTTGAACCCATATTTTTGTCAATTTCTGTGATATAGCTCTTTTATTGTAACACCTAACTAATTTGTTCTTAGCAATAAGGATATACACCTGTATATTTCAAAATAACTATTAAAATATATGAATACCTAAGTGCAAAAAAACTGAATTGTGAAAACACAACTCAACACATCTAAGACTCTGTTCAACCTTTCTTGAATAACAAAATTAAGTATTTAAGGAGAAACCTTTTTGAGTCATGACGAATTAATAATAAGCAAATGCCCATTACATGTTGGACAGAATGAAGGTATCCAACAGGCATTGGACAGGTGTCCTATACCTGTTGGGTTGTATTTTGATGAAGGGATAAAACTACCCAAGAACAATTGAACATGTGCACATTGTCCAATTCTATTTGGGTTTCTTGAATCTCCTCATCAAAATACAACCCAACAGGTAATGGACACCTGTCCAACTCCTCTTGGATATCTACATCCCACCCAACAGGTAACGGACACTTGTCCAATTCTTCTTGGGTTTCTTGAATTATTTCATCAGAATACCACCCAACAGGTAATGGACATATGTCCAACTCCTCTTGGATATCTACATCCCACCCAACAGGCAATGGACACTTGTCTAATTCTTGGGTTTCTTGAATTGCATCATCAAAATACAACCCAACAGGTAATGGACACCTGTCCAACTCCTCTTGGATATCTACATCCCACCCAACAGGTAATGGACACTTGTCCAATTCTTCTTGGGTTTCTTGAATTGTTTCATCAGAATACCACCCAACAGGTAATGGACATCCGTCCAACTCCTCTTGGATATCTACATCCCACCCAACAGGCAATGGGCACTTGTCTAATTCTTGGGTTTCTTGAATCTCCTCATAAAATACAACCCAACAGGTAATGGACACCTGTCCAACTCCTCTTGGATATCTACATCCCACCCAACAGGTAATGGACACTTGTCCAATTCTTCTTGGGTTTTTTGAATTGTTTCATCAGAATACCACCCAACAGGTAATGGACATCTGTCCAACTCCTCTTGGATATCTACATCCCACCCAACAGGCAATGGACACTTGTCTAATTCTTGGGTTTCTTGAATTGCATCATCAAAATACAACCCAACAGGTAATGGACACCTGTCCAACTCCTCTTGGATATCTACATCCCACCCAACAGATAATGGACACTTGTCCAATTCTTCTTGGGTTTCTTGAATTGTTTCATGAGAATACCACCCAACAGATAATGGACACCTGTCCAACTCCTCTTGGATATCTACATCTCACCCAACAGGTAATGGACACTTGTCCAATTCTTCTTGGGTTTCTTGAATTGTTTCATCAGAATACCATCCAACAGGTAATGGACATCCGTCCAACTCCTCTTGGATATCTACATCCCACCCAACAGGCAATGGACACTTTTCTAATTCTTGGGTTTCTTGAGAATCCCATCATCAGAATACTACCCAACATGTAATGGACACCTGTCCAATTCCTCTTGGATATCTTCATCCCTTCAATAGTATATAAACTAAAAGGTATTGGACATTCTTCTTGGGTTACTCAAATTTTTTTTCATAAGAAAGAAAACCCAATAGGTATTGGACATTGGTTCAACTCTTCTTGGATATTACATCCCAACATTAGAATAAAACCCAACAGGTGATGTTTACCTGTCCAATTCTTCTTGGGTTACTTATACCCTTCATTAAAATTGTCAAATTTGTCTTGGATATTTATACTCTTGCATTAGATTGCAAACCCAATAAGTATGACATTTACCTTCCCTAGTTGAATTCAAATTTATCTGCATAAGCATACATAAGTCCAAAACATATTTAATACTTTAATTCTAACATTCCACATCTCATTCAGTGTACACTTTACAAATGATAGGAAATATATAAGCATTTTGTGCCTAAACTATTTGGCTTTTAAAGAATTTTATAACCATGTTTGCAAAATTTAAATATTGGAACTTGGAGCAAGTCATTACAGGTAGAGCAAGATGCTGAAAACCAGATTGATAAATAGATCACACCCTTGATAACATATTTGCCTTCAGTTGCTAAGATTGTGTTGTATTATATGGAAAATTTCTATAATCCTGTTTATTACAGATACATGTACAATGCATATTTTCCCTGTAATAATAAAAATACTTCTGAGATGTAAAAGAATGGATTAAATAGTCACCGATGTTAAAAGATATTACATGATCTCATTAATCTGGTTTGGAAATCACAAACTTAGTTTTGAAGCCGATAAAACAGTGTCGCACCAGAAAACTCAGTTACAAGTACAATGAATGAATTCGTTGTATCAAAACTTTAAAATAATTGATGCACTATGTCCAAATCTTTTCGACAAATCGGGATAAAGATATTAAATCAAATCATCACTGTTATAAGTCTTAGAGCTAGAGAAAAGTCATTACACGCCCAAATTTTACATGTAAGACTTTGATCCTATATTTCAATAAATGTCAAAATTGGTTTTATTTTTGTTTCTGTTCAATACTTTCTTCTCAGGGTCTCTCATGGCCTATACTGTATGATGCCTCCATCGACCCTGCTCTTTTATATTGCCATATGTTTATCCAGTAGCAGTGGTTATGCTCAGGCAATCTTTGAAATATTCCTCATTTCATGCATCTCCTTCAGTTCTGCCTCTGTCCATTTTATTCATTCTGCAATTAGATAAAGGCATTTCTTTGCCGTATAAAACATGTTTTTCTTGACTACAGCAAGATCACCCTTTATGTTGATCAAACCCAACCAAGAAGTAGAAGTATATTTCTTATTCAGAAATATGTATTGATAAACAAAATGGAAGAAAAACTAAATTCTATCAACTCTTTTTTTTTTCTTCTATGTCTAACTGCAACTTAATCCTACCCCCATCTGCCATATTTTTTTCAAAATGGAATCATCATTCAACACACAAAACGATGTTACATATTAATTAGACAGTATGTTAGTTTCTGATTGTTAAGAAGTAGATTTTAAAAAGATTTTACACCTATTCCTTGCAAATTTTAGACTTCTAATGTAACACTATCAGTACATTAGGGGTACATAATCTTCAAAAACATCTCTACACTTAATGATAAAGCTTTCACATTAGTATTGTTTTTAGCCCAATGGTTCGTCTAAACAGGATTTAAAATTGACCCAAACCTTACTAACTGCTTTGAAATTATATTGACAGGGACAGAGACACACTTGACACTCCATCCCCCCTTCCTGGGGTATGCTTTGCACAAAATTTAATTAAAATTGACTAAGCTGGATAGAAGTTGAAAATATGAAAAATTACAGTCAAACAGATTATGAATAACTTTCAGCACATCAGACATGAAGTAGTGATCCTTAAATAAAATACACCTACAAGATGAAGCTGTTTTATTCCTTTGAAGTGATATCTAGTATTGTTTCTTTTCCTGTATCCCACCTCTATCAGAACAAAACGTTATGCATGTATTAACACAACCTTTGACCGTATAGTACCCCAGTATTTACTTTACAATAATTAAGTTCTGGAACCAACCCTCAGATGCCCTTAAAACAAATGATTCTAAACTGGCAAAGGTAAAGGGCATCTGAAGAATTTAAGGAGGCTGGTGGGTCAACAAATTAATCCCAAATTAACCACCAGATTTGACTTATTTTTTTAGGTACGGTATCTTTAGCTGTCAACTATCATTTGACAAAGAAAAAATTCAAAGATTTTAGTTATAAAATTTGATCATTTTTTATATCTTTATATGGAGCTCTCCTTTTATAGGAGATTGAAATAGTCTAAAAATGGCTGCCACCCCCCCCCCAGCCTCGTTAAAATAAAATGATAGTACAAACAAGCAAACAGTGTGCATGAAAATGTTGGCAAACACTAGAAAAAATACTAAGGTACTTTCTCAAACTTAACATGAATACTAAAGAGGTTTTATGTAGCTGTATTGCACATACCAAAAGCTTTCCTGCAGTTAAAGGTTGGTTGCCTAGTAGTTATGTAGTATGTACAAGTTTTTCCCTCTATCTCTTCTAATTTAAGAAGCGAAAATGTCTCTAAAAATCTTATGGTTGGCATGAAGTATTCCTGTTCATTTTACTGATTACTTACAATTGTTCTATTTCTGAGGGACATCTTCTGATGGGTGTGTTCTCTGCAATGTTCACAACTGAAGTTCCTGTGTGACCTGTTACATATTTAAAATCCTCAATGAACATGATTATGGTTTTAATTTCCATTGTAATTATTGATTACTTTTATAAAAAAAAATCTAAACCAATTTATTGTAGCATAATACTTAGGAAAAATATTTATGTAATATCAATGGAAAAAAGAAATCATTATCTCCAGTTATCCTAAAATCACAAGTAAGCATTAATCATATAAATTCACATTTGTAAAGCCATTAGCTTTTTGTGCTATTAAATCATAGTCATCGCTGTGCAATAAAGGAAATCAAGTACTAATCCACAGCTTTGTGGCAATAAAGTTACTATCCCCGAGTAAAAAGTGACAAGCCCAAATATAGAGGCAAAAATTAAAAAGTAACATTGAAAAAAAGTTCATCGCGAAAAAAGTCAGGGGGCCCGTTTCATCAAAAGTCGTAAAGTTAAGCCTTAACTTAGGCGTACTTCCGGGGATTTCGCCAAAATTTAGTCGGGCGTAATTTGCGTTTCACCAAGTGGCGTAAGTCTAGTCGTAAAATATACGCTTAGTCACAGGACTAAACATTGCCCAAAGCGTACAAACATGTATAAATTGTAGCACGTCAAAGTACAGAATAACACAAGTTATAGATAAATTAATACTTGCACTAATTGAAACATGCATGGGTTTATAGTGTTATGTAAGAGAGACATGCATCTTTTAAGAAACCAATTTTAGTTTTTTTTACAATATTTCAATAATAAAAGTCTAATAAATTGAAAGGATGAAAAGGACAGTACATGTACTTGTATTTCGGAATTAAGAAAAACTATTCATTTTGGAAATTTAATTACAGCCATACCCCCTCTTCCCGAAATTGATACAGGTTAATAACTTCGCCTTTGATAATAAATTTCATGATTCGATAAATACTGATTTTACTGACAAATAGTAATAATTAAGTTTGAAACAGAATAAGATTTAAAAATCTTAATAAGAAATGTATATGCAAGCAAAAATAATGAAAACAAAATGCAAACGGTTTACATATGAACACATTTTGAGTCAAGAAATAAATTTTACACGTTTACTTCTATGATACATGTAAGATAATCCTCTCTGTATTTATAATTTTTTGTCAATTCAATTGATTCATAATTGTTCAGTTATAGAAAAAAATTCTTTACTATCTGGCGTATATTGCAAATTAAATGTGATGTACCGTTTTAAAAGTACGCAGAGAGAGAGAGAGAGAGAGAGAGAGAGAGAGAGAGAGAGAGAGAGAGAGGGTTTTGGAAAAATGACTACAAAGATATTCTTACAAAAATTCTCTGCTTGTGTGGTCTCTGTCTTTAAAATTTAGTTACAGCTACTCTTTATTTTGTTTTCATTAAAATGTAAGTAATGCAGGAAATCAAAAACATGTATATTTTCATCTTATATGTGCTTTATATGCGCCTCAGATTATCTTATACTATGAAAGATTTGCTCTTTTAAACAAAATTATGAAAATTAAAGATGTCTTCTGCATCAATGTTTGTCTGAGAAAAAAAAATTAGAAATAATTCATTCTTGAACTTAACTGTGTAATTATCACCGTCTTACATCGATATTATAAAAGCAATAATTTATTACCACTTTCAAAAATCCCTTCCTGTCTATGAGACCCCAACCCCCTCCCTGGGTTGGGGTCTTTGATTCGCCGGGAACATCACTTGTCCCAGATACCTAGGAAAATAATTACTTTCGTCCTTAACTAAGTAATCTGTACAGTCAATATAAATTAATCTGCAAATTCGGGAGATTCTGAAACCTCTCTCCGACCCCCTCTGGATCCACGCATGTGGCGAAAAGTAAATAAGAAATGGACTCTTCAAACATGACAAAAACTATTTGGTTTTAAGATGGGTTATTTTTTTGAATTTTTTCTTAAATGTAGAAAATTACATGAAAGATGATAACTATGCTTTTGAAACCGATTTTTTTTTGTTGTAATTTTTGTTTTTCAGAAATATGCTGTTGGAAAATATTATTCAAAATAGACAATTTTAATGGGTCTCTTTTTAGTAAATGAAAAAGAAACTAGGGGCTAGTAAGCAATGAGTTCAATAAAATATATCCCCCCGCCTTCCACATAAATTTTATAATGGCAGTGTCCATGTTTTGCTGTGGGAAACCCAAAATATGTGTCGGATCAAAAAGTACAATAAGGCACAATGGCAATATATAATAAAGATTCTGTGAAAATTTCACCAAATTTCAATCAGTGATATGAAATGAGTTGCGGATAGAGATGGGTACCCCCAAAGCGTAACAGATGGACGGACGGACATCCCGATTATTAAATAGTATATAAATGTACATATACATGTACCGTCCCGCTTTTCAAGCGGGGTGTAGAAATACAGTTATATATGTAAATTGATTTACAATACCTTAGACATACAATACCACAATCAAATGTGTATGAATGCATTGTAAAAACGTAAGAAATCTCTAATAAGAAAATCTTTTCTTCTCAGCAGAAATGTATCAAAATATTATTTGAGTACGTTTTTACTCAAATCAACTACGTCCCCAAAAGTAGTTGTAACAACACCCCCCCCCCCCCTCCCCTCTTCATAATATGTATAATTAAATTATGCATTGTTTGTATTTTAAATTCTGCTTAGAACCTTACTTTTTTCTTTAGAACTCGCTAAAATTAATAAAGAGGCCTTATTTTAACTTTACGCCCTAACTTACGCCTACCATGAGTAGACGTAAAATGTTGGCCTAAATTTAGTCAGGCGTAACGATACGCTCTCTAATGAAATGCAAATATTCGTGCTAGTCCCGACTTAATGCCGGGGTAGCGCTACGACTGGGCGTACGACCTTTGATGAAACGGGCCCCAGGGTATTAACTACAAGTGGATCTTTTTAAAATTAAAGTTTAATTTAATTTTCGCTAGTAAAATTTAATCATATATCAATTAATGAATTGAAAAAAATGAAAAAAAGATTTTAAATATTCCTTTTCCGGTCATTCAGTAGTTCGTCTAATTAAAACGAAGCAAAAATCATTTTGTTTTCATCTTGAATCATTTAAAGCCATATATGGCGTATGTACAATGAAAATTGTTAGACTAAAATTATAAGAACTTATTATTTGTATCATTACTTTATATAAGCATGATAAAGATAGAAATTTCCCGTAAATTACAAAATCTAAGTCAATTGCGTTATAAAGATATCAAAATTTAATTTGGATTCTCGGAATTTTCTCCGACTTGGAAGAAAATACAAAAGATTTAAATAACACATTACAGAGAAGATAAAATCGTATTATTAGATAAAACGAGGTGTTCTCCGTGCTCCGAATTGTATGAAAAGCTTTAATTTAAATGTATTAACTATATTTCTTTACTTAATTTTGTATTTTTCAAAATATATTTTTTGATCAGTTACGCCATATATGGCTTTAAAAAAACGCTACATAATTGCATGACACTTATCATTGAGCTGATTGAGTGAATGTATATAATTTAATAATGAGATATCTGTGAGGCATATATGTACAAGCAAATATTGCTATATTAAACAAAGGAAAGGGGGGAATTCAAATTAGGAAATAAAAGATCGTTTTTAATTAAATTAGTCTTGTAGTACTGCAAAATGGATGCAGTTGTGGAGATTTATGGATAATATGAGCATGCTGTCTGGAATATTTCCATATTAGGGAATTTAATAGCAAAAAAGAGTGGAAATACCGGTGGTGCTTTTCATGTGTTACATGTGTATTTTAAAATTCCTAATAGCCCAAGGGGATTCCTCAGTGCAGAAAACCACTAGCCCCATCCTCAAAAATGGAAGCCCCGGGTGTAGCGCGATGCTAATTACACACCCATCATGTGAAATAGTTATAGTAGCCCTATATCAATTTCAGTATTGTTTTAAATTAATTAAAACAAATGACAAAAACAATAATTAAAAAAAATCAAAATAAAGCAGACACTCAGTCAAAATCAAAGACAGAAAGAAGCACTGTTTTGACTGAAAGTTTTTCAGTGATACAATGGATCTCTTAAGTTACATATCAGATGAGATAAACTTACATACAATTATTTAGTTGTCAATTATCCCATTTATCATCATCTCAGCTCACTTTGCGATTGTAATACTGTCTACATGAACCGATAATTTACAGCTGATTTATGAACACACGATTGTTAAAATTTTCATTTCCCATTCCAATATACATTGTCAGAACATACTTAGTTTGTTATTATATGAAATTAAATAATAAACGCTTTCGATTTATTAAAGATTATTTAACAACTAAATACTTCTCGCCCTCAAGAGAGTTAAAAGACAGAGAAAATTCAAAATACAAATAAGTGCAACTTAGAATCAATTTTTCCCATATATATATTTTAATTTTGTGCACAATTGTTTTCAAAATTACATTAAAATCTATTTTCCTTAAACAAGAACCCAGCAATGGATAAATATTAATCGAATAAACTTACCTTTTCTCTTGTCAATCAGAAAATCTTGTTGACATTAAGTGTTTCTTAGTCGCCATATTTTTTTCCATGAAAACAAACGTTGTTATGATCCAGGATCAACGGAAGTTGATTTTGGGAGCTCTTCGAGAATTTAGAGTTCCGAATGTAAAACTGAAACAACAAAACACGGTGTGTCCGTGAAAGCAACTTTTTTGGACACTTTTTTTGGACAAATCGTCGTGTCCAAGTTTTGTTGGGTACTAACCTGCAAATACCCAATTAGGGTGTTTTAAGCATATTAAGCGACACATCTTATTGGGTATACCCAATAAGCAAAAAGTACCCAATAAGTACAATCTTGGCATGAAAAATACCCAATAAATGCACTCTCGTAAACACGGACAGACAGACGGACGGACGACGGACGCATTACTATCGCATAAGCTCTTCTCTGGTCTCTGACGAGTAGAGCTAATAAAAACATGTAAGACTGGCTTAGGTGAAATGAATCTATGGTTTTATTTAGTTGAAGACTTATGTAGATTATGAAA